AATAAAATAATATTACACGCAAATCCAAAACTTTTCCTTATTTTTTAACCACACATTTCCTATCAATACACTATTCAAAAATTCATTCTTTCCAAAAAAATGGGACTCAAACAAAGGCTAAATATGGATTTTCAACCAAAATTTAGGACAAATTTAAACCAATAACTATTGACTGCTTACTTTGAATTCAAGAACGATTCTTGGATTTAAATCTCCAATTTGTGTTTTTCTAATGACATTATAAAATACAAATTGAGACGGAACCAAGTATTTATTTTCTCAATAAAAAAAAAAAATCCTTGTCAATCTCTATCTTCACCCCCCTTCATCTGCAATAACTGATAAAACATTCACACAGACAAAAGTTAAAGGAGGTTGGATTTATCCAATAGTAATGAATATCATCTGAAGGTGCAATCTCAGTTCATCAACATGCATTCTACAAAATCTTAGCTAGCATCAAACTAAAATCAACGCAAGAATTAGTGCAGACAATGATACGATTTGGTGGAGATATATATAATTCCTAGAGCTTCTCGATGACGGACCAACCGGTCCAAATGCAGGTGGTGAAAATAGCCCACGGGTACTTGAATTCAAGCTGCCCCAAAGTATAAAAACTATTTTAGAGGCCAGTAAAGAAAATCACAAAAAGAAGAAGAACAATAGATAAACACTCACCTTCCTGTAAATCTACAGGATCCATGACCTGCATATCGATAGCCATGAACACAGGATAAGAAATTTATGCAAATTGACTATAACAAAGGCAAAAACGGACATATAGATCAACCCATAGCATGCACGATTAAAGTAGTTTTCTAGGTGAGAAAAATAAGTTACTCATCAATAGAAATGATGGACAGAAAATTTAAAGCCTTATGGAAGTAAATTTTAGTTCTTCCACGCCGAAAACAACAAGAGGGGTTGTCAGCAAACAGGAATACAATTGTGTCAGACAGTATTTTCAATAGAGTCAAGCATATATGTTAGTTTGGATTAGGAATAATTTCTGCAATATGTGCACTTTATCTAACCTTCATAATGAAGCCTGGAGTTGTGTGTAAACACGGATTATAGGAAAAAGGGGCAATGGGATAGCAGCACTGCTATTAAATATAAAGGCATGGTGTTGCTTATTACGATAAAAAGAAATAATATTTTGGTTGAAAGCAAATAATAAATTCCAATTTATTTTCAATATGAAAGCTTCAAAGGATAAAAGAAAAACTGAACATTCTTAGAAAATTCACCAGGGTGATTAAGTATCAAGGATGGGCGTAAAAAGAATAATTCACTTTATCTTGGAAGGACAATGATTAAGGGCATCAGAAACTTACTAGGATCAATAGCAGTTGTCATAGCTGTGCCATCAAAGTCACAAGTTCCTCCAGAACTGTGCATTTTTTGATAGTAATCATTGTATGCATAAGAAGCATGATTTTGCCAAGTATCAGGTAAATAGCAAGGCTGCCCTTGTTGAATAGCTCTGCAATTAGCTTGGCCAGGCCCGCAAGCCCAATTAAGACCACTTCTCAGCGATCTCTCATCTGCACCTGGTTTTGCGATACAAAAAACTGTTGATGAATTTGCACCACGACCATCTGAATTACTCAAACTAATAGAATAGACAGCAGTGCCGTTACTAAAAAGGACACCCCAATTCCTCTCAGAGACAGGACCCGGCCTTCTATCTTCATTGAACAACTCATAGATGTACGTATTTATTGGCATGTCAGGTTGACTAGGTGGACCTGAATCATTTGAAACACGCCGAATCAAGTTATTATTAAATGTTTCGGCATTTTCTACAGTGGCATAAGGTTCATTGGCACCACCAAACCAAGGCCACCCCGTTTCAGTTACCACAACTGGGATCTTTGAAAATTTAAGAGCAGCTATCGAGTTATAAGTTGCATCCACCAAAGCATCAAACATACTGTTGTAGCGAAAGAGGGTGTTCGGGTCAACAATTTGTTTGACTGAAGAGAGTGGTTGGAAAAGAGCATATTCAATAGGAAAAATACCATTGCTCTTAACATATTCATAATAAGGATAAGCATTTAACATATAAAAGGAATTTGTGTTTCTTAAGAACCGAAGGATCTGGAATATTGTGGAGTTCCATGTGGTGTTAAAGGTGGCAGTAGAAGGAGGAAAGGGACGAGGAATTAAGCCCATCGACTGCGGGGTTGAAACTTTAACTAGATAATTTAGATTTGTAGCAACTAAGGCTTTATACAGGTTATTCATAGCAGGAACCAAAACTGGTGCTGCATTTGGGATTGAAGAGAGAACTTCACTGCCCACAGCAATTGCTGTAATATTGGTCCCAGGCATATAAGCTGCAACATTTTTATTAATCCAGGTTGCTGCTGCTGATGGGGATTCTCCAATGCCTAAGACTTCTTCATTTGTAACACCAACCATGACTTCAATGCCAGTGTTCGAGAGAGCACTTAGCATGTGGGCATCAGAATCAAAGAGGCGCACATGACTTATTTGATGAGTTTTAAGAATTCTAATAATATCAGTAGCTGATGGTAGATTTGAAATATCAGTACCAATATTTATCCCAATGAATGCACCTGCACATACAAGAACAATAATTAAAAAAAATTATAGCAAATTCTACCGCATTTATTTTTTGTGTAGGATTTCAAACAGAAAATCTGTCCATATCTCAAATCAAAAGGCCAGTATGTCCTACAGGAAGGTAACAGGAGCTAAAAACCAGATGAGATTGACAATAATTGAAGAAGGCAAACTTGAATACAATCACCTATCAGAAACTAGAAGTACTTGAGCAAAAACTTAGTCTACACTAATACATTAGCAAACATTTAAAAAAATATATATATATTAATCTAAACAATAAAAGTAAAAGAATGAATTATCTTCAACTTTCACGTTAAATTATCACCACTTAACAAGTAAGGCAAAAAAAACTGAAACACAAAAATCATAATTTACCAATTCTCCATACCAGAGGATTGATTTTATATGAGTGCGCTGCAAGTTCAAAAAGAGTTTCATGCACAATAAGGAGACAGAAATTCTTTGAAACCAGCAATAGAACCACAAAGTTCATTTGGACTTTGTCCTTGGGAGATTATATAAATAATTTTAGGACAGCATATAGAGTTCCAGCTAAGAATTGAAAAACCTAGTATTTGGTCAAACTCTGAACCACAGATGGAATCGGGTACTCAGTTCAATGGTAAAAAATTGAGCAGGTTTTAGAATGTCGATCAACCTATTGTACTGGAGAACAGTCCACAAAATAGCACGATTGCTCCAAGCCGTAATTCAATCATCATCAGCTACAAAAATTAGCTTCAATCTTCACCCACGCCTGCACTTTATTCTTGAAAGAAGAGAAAATATTTTAAACAAATTGAAATGCCAAAGATACTGAGAGCAAGACAACGCAGTTCTTGGATGATAAAAAAGGAAAAAGGGACCATGAAATGTGACCTGATTAATGGCCTTCAAATCCTGTCGATGAGTAAACACTTGAGAAACCTGCATGATCATTTGAGACGGTAGAGTTCTAATTTCCATTTATATCAATAGTTCATGCTAGCATAACTGTGTGTATGAGAGAGAGAGAGAGAGATAAGGTACAAAAGACAACTGTTTAATTAAAATGACAAGCTAGTAAATCAATGCAATCAGATGGGTATAAGAAGTTAATATTGAATGATTCAAGAAGACGTTAAGATTTGTTTCGCATCGTTATGTAATTGCCACAAAATTGCATCATTTTAGTGTGCAATCTAGATGATAAATAAAGATTAAGCAAAATAACAGGAAACACATACCAAGATATGTTCGGATAAAGATTTATGAACTCCCAAGGGAAAAGGATATGCAGTGAATAGATATATATTGATTAATAACCATGCTGCCACTAATTTTATAATAGCATACAAAATAATGATGGTCAATACACTGTATTAGCTCAGAATAATGGCTTGAAAGTAACAACTAAGTGGAAGAATGAATACATTTCATTCGTACTGTAAAGGTAAGTATGGAAAACAATTTGAACAAGCTTATCCACCAAAAAACAAGAAACTGATCTTCTACAGTGCAGGCAGGCTGATGGACTAGCCAATCCGGCCCCAAAACAAATCACAACATGCTCAAAAGCTGAATGTCCTCAAACTAACCAGACAGAGCTCCTCAATCGATGTCTATTGAGCTGGATGTTCCACCATGACTGACTAAAGGTCAATCCTAGGATCAAACTGAAACCCTGTTTAGTGATAGGACTGATACCTTCATATACAGAACAACTAAGTTGTTAACCCCAAGATTCCCAAGACCACATCCAGCACTGAGCCCAGTAGCTAAAGACCATTCAAACCACTGGTTCATGAAGTCAGACGAACCAGGAAGATCTCTATAGACTGGACATAGTGGGGTATGAGGATGCTCTACTTTCAATCCCGTGTGTCAGAACGTGCTCCACCAATATGAAATTATGCTGGGCAAGAGGGGATAACAACCTTCCACATAACTCATTCTACATCTATAAATAGTGGTTGGCTAGCAAACTCCAAAACTCCACCAAATAACTTTCTTAGCATTATCATTGGAGTACAACAGGTTTGTCCTACAAATGTGTCAAGGTTTTTTATGATGCATTTCCCAGTAATAAATTTCCTACCTCTACCAAAGAATCATGTATGTGGGTACTTTACGTATCCAAATCAGTATTTTGACAAAGTACCAGGAAATAAAGGTTCGACAAGATGGTATAACCAGTTATTTATCAACAAAACCAGAAAACTTACTGTCCCCATCAACCCAATGGACAAGTTCTACCAATTACAATAAGTTAAGGATGTAAGGAATAGAAGACGCCGAGCAAACAATTCACCAAGCAATAAACCAGGGAGCTAAATTTTGTTAAATATAACTAAGGAGATTCATTCCATTTCACATCATTTCAATTCCAACAATACAATACTTGTGTGCAAAACCAAATGGACATTTTAGATGTGTCCTACTTATATATCAAGGATACCAGATGTTTGCGAAAGCTTAAATTTGATTTTAGGAGATCTCGATTTGTCACTGCTTTCGAAACATCGAAAAGCTCATGGTAAAAAAACCAA